CCTTGTGGGACGCCAACATTGCCTTGACGGCGACGTAGATGCTTTGGACCGATCTTATATACTCGCTCATCCAGACAAGCTGGACGGGGCAGCTATATCGTGGATCCACGATGCGACGTCGAATCCGAGCGTCAGGCTGATAACCTTCGAAGCCATCGCTGGTCTACGCGTGGGGTTCAAGGGCCGTATTGAGGTCAGGACGTCAATTGTTGGCGATTTACTGCGAGAGGTCCGCAGTGCGTGTAGCCAGGACGATGTGTCGAAGCTCGAGCTTCTCGTCCGTGCATATGTGCAGATGCAGGAATATGCGGCGCGTGGCCAGGTCGTCTCTGGAGACGGCGATGACTGGTCGGATCGCCACATCGTCTCCAATCTGGAGGGATGTCCCGATATCTGTAGTCCACAGCTTGACGCCGCTTTGCGCTGCGTCGGGTATTATCCCTCTATCGACGTGACACAGAAGCTGTATGATATATCTGCCAGCCCCAATCGATCTATTCTTCGCCTCCACCCCATCATCTGGCTTAGACAATTCACAAAGGCCTATGCTTCTTCCAATTCGGCTCTTGCCTTTCTCCTGGCCACCGAAATGGTGAACATTCTCACCTCCGTCGATTTCTTTGACACAAAACAGTTCATCGCGTCGTCGGATGCTCCCACCACTACTCTTTCTGAGCCAACGATAGAGATGGCCCTTGCGATGGTCGATTACATACATCGGGCGTCGTCAGGGAAACACCATCATCGCAGTCTGGTTCAAGTACAGCCGCGTTGCTGGCCTATATCCAGCAGGTTCCTGTCTTCTAGATGATGGTCCAAAGAGCGTGATATCGTCGACTTTGACGCGCTGGAGCATGCTCGCAACGCGTTAAATATGCCATTGCCAGGAATCCAAAGCATCGTTTACTCTATCTCGCACGCATCATGCAGCGTATCGCGACACCCTATTGTCTGTCGCTTCTTCAGTCTACTTTCAAGACTCCGACCTCAGTCATGTTCGCCTGCTTTTGGGCAGCATCCTGTCTGAGCTGCACGACATGCTGATTGACGCTGATCGGCCACTTTCCCTGTCTTTCAAGAGATGACGAGTACAAAGTATCGTACATGAAGAACCGATCGTTTGGGATCAACCTTTTCCGATACATCCTCTCATACAATGTCGGATGTAATCAATCCTCGGAAGGCGACGTCTGGGAGATTGCGTCCCATCTCTTCGACGAAGGTTCTCCTTCATCTTCGAGGCCTTTATGCAGATGGACGGCATCGCCATCCTTTACCATATATTTGGTTCTGGTTTACAAAGTGCTGGCGCGCCGTCCGCCTCTCAACTTGCTCTCGCGTACCTGTCGGGATTTCTGAAATCGCAAAAGCGTCGAGCACCTTGGAATCTGAGTTATTGTACATCCATTCGGGAGACAATCTTTTCCCTCTAGTGGTGATGATCTTGTACGAAGAGCGTCATGAAGAGTTACTAGAGCTAATCACTGTTGCTCCAACACGATTTACTTCCATCGCTTGGTCGCCATGTGTCCTTGAGTTACTGAACTGGACGCTTGAAGAGGAACTTTGCAGCTGGCCTTCGGAGAAACGGGTGTTCGCGCGAGAAACGATAGAGAAGCTATACAACATGTTTAGCTCAGGATCTTGTCTTCCTGATGATGGCATCGTTCCGGAATACTGCTTTCTCTCTAATGGAGAGTCGACAGGCTGCCGAGAAACTGCAGGTACGTTCTATTTTTTGCAGCGCGAGTGACAGTTGCTTAATATCCAGGCTGATTAGCGCGTCTTCTCGTCCTGGAGCATCTAGGGAGCGTGGTGGTGAAGATGCGAAGTCGTATATTAGCCCCGTATCTATGGTTTGCTGAACTTTTCAGTTATCGTTTTCACCAATACTTATCGTCTACAGATCTGGTCCGATTCATATGAGCTCCGCCTGGTAAATACTTCCTTCGTCTATCAGAGTCACTAGTACTGAAATTATGTTAGTGTGCTGTCTCTAGCGCGTTTTCGTCCACCGCTCGCCCTGCATCGGAACGCGTCAATGAATGGTTTCTGTGCAGTATCAGCCTCCAGAAGCACAGAATGTCTTGATTCATTGCTGGAGATGATGGAAGAAGGTTCGGCGAGCACAAGTGAATCAGAGACTGTCATCAGGAATGAATGTCTCGGAAGCACGTACACATGAAGCCATGTCGAATATTAATGATGTTCAAGTTCCATATGTCAAGAGTAACTTACCTACCAAGTTTCATAAAATGAATCGATTCAGTTAGAGGCAGAACTGGGCGCTGATGCGTTCCATGCGCATATGATATGCGGTGCAGACGAGAGTCCTATGTTGCGCTCAGAGACTTGGAAAATGATGACCAAAGGATGAATTATCCAGTGCAGTGGCAGGGAGCTACACGTGGTCCGTCTCGATCGTTCAAACCTCTTCTCAGGCTCAAACCATCACCATCATGTGTTCGTATCTTTCCTCTAGACGGTCCTAAATGGTTTCTTTCGCGTGTCTGGCAAACATAAGCGCCCTTTTCGTCTAGTTGAGCTAAATCGTCTACGCCATTTCAGCTAAGGCCGCCTCGGTCAACTTTAGTACCACCATTCATGCTTCAGGACCTTGATCATTGACATTATTTTCTCCTTTAATCACAAGCCTCACTGCCTACCGCAGCGGTGTCCGTTGATCTCATCATGGAACGACTACAGCTGGAAGAATGTTCTGTCTGGATCGCCTGGACTTTTTACTGCACCCCCGACTATCCACCATAAGCATACCAGATGCTATATTCTCAGAGGCACCAGGGGACTCCTGGCCATTCTAGTTCTGTTCAGAGATCATACCAGCCGCCGACGATGACGCGAAAATCATCCGCGTGCGCATCGGGTAGACTTCGGCGTCGCGACAACGGTCATGTTATTTCGATTTCAGCCATATAAGCTGCACGACCTGCGAGGGAAGCTCATTGTACGATCCTGCGACATGCACGCGCCAACTCGCCTGTTACTGTTATCTGCTTTGTCGATTATCACGGTGCGTGGTCAGGCGCCAATCTGGGGCCAATGTGGTGGGACCGTCAGTACAAGTCGTTCTTGCTACGTGTACTGTTGCTGATTCAGGACTCGTTTAGGGCTGGACTGGGCCTACGACATGCGCTGAAGGATCCGTTTGCACCGTCCTTAATTCCTGTACGTGACACCGCCGTCCTTTCCGCCGCCCTTTCTTCATGTGTTACAGACTACTCGCAGTGTACGCCGGGGACAGCAGCAAGCACCACTGCCAGTAGTACTACGTCGGCTTCTTTACCAACGAGTAGTTGTGCCATCCCGCCCGCTTCTGCGGGTACGTTGGAATATACTGGAGTCAATATCGCTGGATTCGACTTTGGGTGTAACTCGGACGGATCATGTACTGCAAGCGCCGCGTACCCTCCACTCACGCAGTACTATGGTGAGCGTTCTCGCCTGATGCGGCTGGTTGAATGCAGTCAACTCGTTCTCTAGGTCACGATGGCGAAGGCCAGATGAAGCACTTTGTTAACGACGACGGGTTCAACACTTTCCGTCTTCCTGTGGGCTGGCAATTCCTCACCAACGACGTCCTTGGCGGCACTTGAACGAGACGAACTTTGCCAAGTATGACGCCCTCGTCCAGGTAGGCTTACCATTGTCCTTTTGCCGCATTCCGTTCTAAAGTATTCCAGGCTTGTCTGATACTTGCGTTATCGATATCCACAACTATGCTCGCTGGGATAAAGGCGTGAGCTATACGGTTCGGTAACACAAACGTCGACTTATCTTTCCTCAGATAATCGGACAAGGAGGACCTACGAATGACCAGTTCGCTGCCCTATGGGCGTCCATTGCAACAAAGTACAAAAGTCAGAGCAAGCTCATCTTCGGCTTGTAAGTTTTAACCCTTACTTCCTCCTCGTCGCTCACCAACTTATACAGAATGAATGAGCCTCATGATGTCCCCGACATCAAGCTCTGGGCTGCGTCAGTTCAAGCAGCCGTAACAGCCATCCGAAATGCTGGGTACGATTCCGTTCATGCACAGTTTGAACGGAGACTAACACGCATCGGTCTATAGCGCCACTACTCAAATTCTGCTTCTCCCGGGAAATAACTGGACGTCTGCCGGAACCTTCATCTCAAGCGGATCTGCCGACGCGTTAAAGACTGTTGTGAATCCCGACGGGACCACAACTGGCTTGGTCTTCGATGTGCACAAGTATCTAGATAGCGATAACTCTGGAACAAACAGGTTCTTCTCTTCTTCTCGTTAATTGTAACCCGACTCAACTTTTCAAAGTGAATGCACAACGAACAACATCGACGGAGCCTGGGCGCCTCTAGCCGAATGGTTAAGATGCAACGGTAGACAGGCCTTCAACACTGAGACGGGCGGAGGAAACGTTGCTTCCTGTGTCAAATACATGTGCGAGCAGATCGCGTATCAGGCTGCTAATTCCGATGGTTCGTCCCACTCTTGGCGCTCAGTGCACTACCTTTCTCACGTGTCGGTTTCCAGTGTTCCTCGGATACATTGGTTGGGCAGCTGGTAACTTTGACGTCTCGTACGTTCTTGTAAGCTTCTCAAACCGCTACTACTATCAACCGTAGTACTTATGGCTGTGTACCTTAGGGTGAGGTTCCTACACAAAGCGGATCGACATGGACGGATACACTCTTGGTGTCGAGCTGCCTCGCTCCAAACTCGGGATCACAGGCCGCGCGAAGATAGAGGAAGGAAGGACGGAAGGATTACATGACTCGGTCCCATCAGGAACGCCGAGTACTAGGAGGAAGGGATATAATTTACCAAATCCGAAGTGCTATGGAAGGACACTGCAGTCTTGTTACTTATATTCCCAGTTCCTAACAGTGTTCGGAGTCCTCAGAATCTATATAGCAGCAACTTCAGCACGAGGAACATCTTGTATACCAGACATAATCAGCGAGACGGATCTACATAATGTCAAGATTGTACTAGAATGCATGGCCGCGTGGCGAAATGGCATCGCCGATCTATGAAAACTTGGTGACATCAGGAGATTGCAGGTTCGAAACCTGCCCCGGTCATTCTTTTTTACCTAGTAATTAGGGTGGCGCAGTAATTAGGGTGGCGCAGTAAACCTCCCGGGGGTGTTAGTAACGGTATCAATACCGACCCCCTGGGAGGCCCTAGTTTCGATACCGTTAGTAACGGTTTCGATACCGGCACGTGTTTTGGACACGTGATGTGGCGCAGCGGCTTGCCGCCCCCATCCCGCCCTTGTCCCGTCAATCTTAGCATCTCTAAGCGCCAGCGCGCCGTCACGTGAAATGATCATGTGTCGGTATCGAAACTGTACTGATACCTCGGCCGAGGTTTCAATACTGTATCAATACCGTTACTAACCGCAGTAAACCCGAGGTGTATCAAAACCTAGGGTTTACTTCACCACCCTAGCGCCGTCGCCTAGGGTGGCGCAGTAAACCTCCCGGGGGTGTTAGTAACGGTATTGATACCGACCCCCCGTGAGGCCTCCGATTCGGAACCGTTAGTAAAGGTTTCGATACCTGCACGTGTTTTTGACACGTGATGTGGCGCCGCGCCTCGCCGCCTCATCCCGCCCTTGTCCCGCCACTCTCAGCTTCTCTCTGAGGGCCAGCGCCATCACGTGAAATGATCACGTGTCGGTATTGAAACCTACCGATTCTTCGGCCAAGGTTTCAATACCGTATCGATACCGTTAAAAACCGCAGTAAACCCAAGGTGTATCAAAACCTAGGGTTTACTGCACCACCCTAAGTAATACATTATAAGGTGGCGCAGTAAACATTTTGAGGGTGTTAGTAATGGTATCCATCTAAACCCCCCTAGGAGGAGGCTCTGGTTTTGAAACCATTAGTGACGGTTTCGATACCGGCACCTGCTTTCGACCGTGTGATGTGGCGCAGCGGCGCGCCACTCTCTTGTTTTTCTCAGCACCTGCACTCTCACGTGCCTGTATTGAACGTACCTACCCGACGGTTTCGATACTGTTTCAATACCATTAATACTTATTACTTGACAAAGCCAATGGCAGGCAGTTGTCCTGAACAATCATCTCTAAGTTGAGAGCCTCGATGGAATCATGAACCCCGGAGTCCTGGCTTCAGACCTAATGCTGGCAGTTTAACCGCCGCCACCTTGCGGCGTGCTCCGGGGTCTCTACTTCAGATCCACATAAGTAGTCTGCATGCTGCGTGGTACGAACGGGTGGTATTGCCCAGTAACTACTCCAGAGCGAAAGTATGGTCCAACAGGAGCAGTTTAACAAGAGCCTTTCTGTGTTTGGAGCGCAAGTACACAGCAGATACATCTTGTAGGACACATCAATTGCTGCCTGCAGCCATGCCTTTCAGACTGCTTTTGATCAAGAACATACTCAATGGCCCACTTCAACAACCTATCCTTCGCCAGCAAAGAATCCTCGACAAAATTGCATAATTACACAGCAGACAATGACAGCGACATTTTACACTTCAAGTCCCCAATAAGTACTAGCAAGCAGAACACCCTACCACCACGCGTTAAACATGTATCCTATTTGAGCCGCCACCGCCACCGCCACCACTACGCCCACCACCACCCTGGCGCCGCATCTTGCCTCCCCTCCTACGCCTCTTGCCATCCTCAACAACATCACGGTCACCCTCGTCATCCTCCCGGTCTCGTTTGCCCGCCACCCTTTCCGCCAACGAGCTACTGCCGCCGCCGGTCCCAAGCCGCTCGAGCAGCGTCATATCCGGCCGACCGCCACCGCTGTCCAGGTTTGACGACGGCGCGCTATCCACCCAATTGGACGGAAGACCAACAGGCTTGGGCGGTAGATCAGCGGGGACGCGTCGCTCTCCAGGACTCGTAGGGTGAAGGGCTTCGCCTCTCTGCCTCTTCGGCGGCCGACTGGTCTTAGGCCGCAAAGTCTTGGGCGGAAATCGAGCAAGCGTTTCCTCCGGTGTGGCCCACAGGGAAAATGACGGTATAGAAAAAGCGCCCCGTTCCGCGCTCTGCTCCTCAGTAAGACCAGAAGGCCCAGGTATCCTCGCCAACATATCTCCAAGAGTCATGTTGCGCTCGTCGTCTCTCTTCTTCTCGGAGGGTGGTGGAATCGGTGGGGGGTAGAATGGCGACAGGGACCTCGGGGGACCTCGACGCTCATACGAGCTGTCAAAGCGCGAAGACCTTCCACGGTTATCGTCCGGCGGTGATGTATTTCCATTGCGCCGTGCCGCGCCGCCATGGCTGTCTCGCTCCGGTGACCAATGCGAACCCCCACGGGAAGACTCAGGCTCGTATCGATCACTCGCTCTCGATGGACCATAGGGCTATGAAGCTTGGTGAAAAACGACATCGAAAGTTGGGGAAATGTGAACATACTTTGTCAACTACGGCAGCCCTTCTAGCTTCGGCTTCCATTGCGTCGGCACGCATCGTGTGATGAGGCGGAGGCGGAGGCTGAGGCTACGGAGTATGTCAGTCTGTACCCAACGTACAACGTTATCCTAACGCACCTCACGTAGTACATATGTATATTGAGGGCGATTTGCAAGGGGTGGTGCCTGACCCTTCTTTTTTTTCGCCGCGTGTTCACGGAGCAGACCCTTGCGTTCCTCTGGATGCAGATTGGGTGAATCTAAAGTAAGTATTTCCCGGTAGGCTTTGAGGTCCTCTGCTTTCCACAGGAGTGCGTCCTCTGGTCTTATAATGATTGTGTCAGGAAGCCTGCGCGGGGGTGGTTCTTCTACTCGGCGCGGGGGTGGCTCTTCGATGCTGCGGGCGGGGTGCTCCACGATTCTGCGTGCGGGGTGCTCTTCTGTTATCCGGACGGTAGATTCCTCGAGTCTGGGCGCTGACTCTTCCGGTTTGCGCACGGTTAGGTCCTCTCTGCGGACGACAGGTTCCTCTGCTCTTCGGGGTGGTGGTTCATCGTCGAAAATGATAGGACCGGACGCCGTAGAGGACGACGTGAGCAGTGTTGCTGGTGCTGGCGCAGAAGGTGGGACTGGAGTTCCAAACGCCTTCCGCGCCCCAATCGGCGTATTATTGGAGCCTGAGCCAAGATCTCGACCTCGCGGCGCTCGCCCCTAACAGAAGATGAGCTTGCATACTCCTGTCAAAAAGAAAAGGAACATACCTGTCCACGTTCCATATGATGAACGGGTCCATCCCAACCATTCCTTGGTGGTGACCTCCTACCAAATGTAGGCGGCGGCGCGTTGGAGTTAGATTCCTGCATTGCCCGCGGTCCTCTCGGCACATCGACACTGGCAGCGGTAAGACCATCATGGGACGGTCCATACTGCCTCTCAACCTGATTACCTCTCCTCGATAATCTAGGTCCAAGCGGAATATGCGGCTGTGGAACGTCATTATTGGGGGTATCGACGAGAACAGGAGCAGTATCAGAGGAAGGCTCGCCTCCGCGTGAAGCCTGACGGAAACGATCACCTTGAGGTGGAAGTGGGGCACGTTTGCGCGGCGGCGGCGGCCCTACAGAGAAGGCATGTCAGACAGCGTGATATCCGTCGACCTGCAAGGAACGTACGGGTGTCGGTGGGCTGCTGTGACGCAGGAGGAAGAGTGTTGTCGGGGAATTCAACAGCGGGCGATGGCGTCTCGCGCTCGTCCATGATGACATCCTGGTCAACAGGTGGCGGCCGAAACCGCGATGTTCTGCGACGAGCACCACCAGGCGGCTGTGAGGTGCCGGATGTGGATCCTGTGTCCATTGCTATATCGCGTGAAGGAGACCTATATCCTGTAAAAGAAAAGAAGGGGAAAGGTTGGAATGAATACATGACGAAGGATTACAGGAGGGAAGGTAATAAAGGGAGAAAGAGAGTCCATGATGAGCGTCCTTGTGGCGAGAAGAGCGAAGAGGGAAGAAGACCAGGGAGAATACGCGGTGCGGGAGAGCGCCCGTGCAAGCATCTAGGCGCTCTCTCGCAGAGACGCTGAAGACAGCACTGGCGCATACGAAGGGGGGTGGGAGCAGGCGGATTAACGTACTGGAAGTGGGGTTGCTTCGGTTTTGTTGAGATGGCTGGTCGCGGTCGCGACGGCTTCCTCTGGATATCCCATCGCTGAAGCGGCTGTCGGGCTCCATGGGCGTAGGTTCAGGGAAGTTCTGTTGACGCGGTTCTTTGCGAGACGTTTGAGGAGAATGTTCGCGACGAGAGGGAGCGTCGGGCCAAGCACGCGATGGTGGAGGCGATAGACTGCGACTATCATAGTTAGCGGGACCTTGTCTGCCACCACCTCCACGGTGAGAGCGGCTAGGACGAGCATCGGCGCGTCCACGTTGCGGAGAGGATTGAGGAGAGCGTCCGCGCGGACGAGAAGGAATATCTTCAGGCCAGGAATCCCCTGCATGTCGCCCGCGCTTAGGGCCACGGGGTTGTTCTGCGGTAGAACCAGGTCGATAATGCCTATCATCAAAAGATAGATCTTCATCGTTGGTAGGGGTAGAAATTGAAATTTCTTCTTTCAAGTATGTCGTGGTCCTGATTGTCTAAGAAAGATATGAGGACTCTTGAAGGCAAAAAAGGCAGAAATGAGCACGAACCGGGCGTTCCCATTGAGTAACATGTGTCCTGACGTTGTAGTAGTATACTGCACCTTGCTGAGACTGCGCCTGGCGAGCTTGCCAGTCCGGAGGAAGAGGAGGTTCGTCTGCAGAAGAATTAGCGGAGACGGATTTTGGTTTACTCGAGCGCGACATGGCCGTCGCGGCAATGAGAGAAGGATGCGATGGACGAGGGCGGGCAGAATTGAAGGCGACGGCGGCGGACGGCTTTGGTGGGAGACCGGGAATGCCGTGACCTGGGCCCTTTGAGCGCTGAGGAGACATCGTAGCGCCGTTCTTGAACGAGCCAGACGAGTCTTCGCGAGCGGGCCCTGCAGAGAACGACGATGGCGTCGGCGCCCTCACCGAGTGACCCGCCGACTCTCTCGACGACGTTGGTGGATCAGACTCTGGCAACGCGTCCTTGGGAGCGTCAAGACCGTAATACTCTGGCTCATCGTCGTCTGGGCCGAGCGAGACGGCGTCGTC